GTGGCAGTGGGGAGGGGGGGACTGTGGGATGGGGGGGGGGAGTGGCGCACTGTGGGATACGAGGTGGCCGACATGGAGCAGGGCATTGTGAGATAGGGCTGGCCCAGGTGGAGCAAGGTTTTAAGGGGTAGCCCAGGCCCAGGTGGAGCTGGGCATTATGGGATACCCTGACGAGGGCCACCCACCCCCATAGGAGCCTAATTAGCACCAAGCGTTAATCAGGGCAGAGGTTAAATACCCCCAGCTAACAGCCCTTTCCTCTTCCACCCCACAGATTCAGGCACTGGCACGAGGAAGGTAACAGCAGAAGGGGTCAAAATGGGCTGAAATGCCCCGAATTTGGGAGCGGGGAGGCCCTAGGGGGTTTCGTGTCCCTCCCTGGGACTAACTGGCGTCTCGTTGCTCCCCAGAACAAGTCGCAGCGGCTGGCCCCGGAGAAGAAGCGGGGAGACCTGGGTGAGGACAGCATGGGGGACCCAGACGCCTGGGTCCACGTGTTTGGGGGGCAGAGGAGGTGTCCGTGCCCCGGATGCCTGCGTTCGCCTCCCCCTGCATCGTGTGTCCTCCTTCCAGGGTTGCCCAAGATGGAGGCGAGCCAGCCCTACAGCGGCATCCCACCACCGCCGGGGGCCATGGGTCCTGCCCTACGCCTCAGCCCCGGGGACGTCGTGGAGGTCACCGTGGCTGAGGCTGAGCAGCTCTGGTGGCAGGTGGGGACGGGACCCTCGTGGTCATGCTGGGATAGACGGAGGCAGACCACTATGGCCATGCTGGAATAGACCCTCATGATGGGCTGGGACAGACCCCCAAGTCCATGCTGGACCACCATGATGAGCTCAAACCACAACGGCCGCGATGGCCTAGACCATGATGAGTTGGGGAGCCATGGTTGAGTTGGACCCCCATGATGGGGCTGGGTCAGATCCCCGCAGCCAGGTTGGACCCCCACCATGAGGCTGGACCCCCCCCCGTGGCCATGCTGAACCCCCACAATGGGGACAGACTCCCGCCATAGAGATGGACCTCCATGGCCATGCTGAACCCCCACAATGGAGATGGGCTGGACCCCTGTGGTCCTTCCAGCCTTCTGGGGAGCAGGGGGACCCCCGTGGCCCCCCTGGCCCCATGGTCCTTCATCCCCAGGGCAGGAACGTGGCCAACGGTGACCTGGGCTGGTTCCCTTGTGCTGCCGTGAGACCCTTCATCTGCGTGAGTATGGGGGACCCCAAAACATCCCCAGGAGCCCCTGCACCCATCCTGATGTCCCCAAGATGTTTGGGGTGTCCTGGGATTTGGGGAGTTGTCTGTGGAATATAAGGGGGGGGGGTCTCAGAGGAGTCACCTTCTGTCCCCCCCTTGATACCCAACTCTGTTTCTCTCCCCCAGGTGCCACTGCCGGATCTCTCCGTCTACTCCTGGTTGGTGTTGGGGATCCCCGTTGCCCCTGGGGCACCCCAAATCCTCCTCTGGGCTCCCATAGCCCCTGGGGACCTCCCCAATCCTCCCCTATGACCCCATGAATCATCTCCTGGGGCCCCTATCCTTCCTGGGGTCACCCCAAATCTCTCCCCAGGGTCATCCCCTCCTTCCTGGGGTCACTCTATATCCTCCAGGACTTCCCAGATCCTTTCCTGAGGTCCTTCATCCTCCCTGCAGTCACCCCATAGCTCCCAGGGGTCCCCAAATACCTCCTGTGGTCCCCCATCCCTCCTGGTTCACCCGCGATCCTCCTCCAGAGTCACCCCATAGCTTCTACGGCCCCCCCAAATCCTCCCCAGGCCCTTCATCCTTCCTGGGGCTCCTCAAATCCTTCTCCAGGACCCCACAAATCCTTTCTCAGGGTCCCCCATCCCTCCCAGGATCACCCCCAAATCCTCCCCTGAGCTCTCCATCCTTCCTGCCCCCCCAATCCTTCCTCCCCCTCACCCCCTTGGCATCAGG